AATCAAGCACCTCGGCATGCAGACGCTTCTACAAACATTTGTGAAAGAATGGGTCGCTCTCAGGAGCTAAGTGGATTCAAGCGCGTTACCGTGATAAGTTGCCACCTGTGCAATAAGTCCATCCGTGAATTTTCCTGGCTACTAAATATTCCACGGTCAACTGTTAGTGTTATTATAACAAAGTAGAAGCAACTGGGAACAGCAACTCAGCCACGAAGTGGTAGGCCACCTAAAATGACATAGCGGAGTCAGCGCATGCTGGAGTGCACAGTGCGCAGAAGTCAGCAAGTGTCTGCAGAGTCAATAACTACAGACCTCCGAACTTCGTGTGGCCTTCAGATTGGCACAACAACAGTGCGTAGAGAGCTTCATGGAATGGGTTTTCATGGCCGAGCAGCTGCATCCAAGCCTTACATCACCAAGTACAATGCAAAGTGTTGGATGCAGTGGGGTAAAGCACGCCATAACTGAACTCTAGAGAAGTGAGATGTGTTCTCTGGAGTGACGAATCACGCTTCTCTGTCTGGCAATCCGAAGGACGTGTCTGGGTTTGGTGCTTACCAGAACAGTACTTACCTGACTGCATTGTGCAGGGTGTAAAGTTTGTTGGAGGGGGGATTATGGTGTGGGGTTGTTTTTCAGGGGTTGGGCTTGGCCCCTAATTCCAGTGAAGGGAACTCTTAAGGCATCAGCATATCAAGACATTTTGGACAATTTCATGCTCCCAACTTTGTGGGAACAGTTTTGGGATGGCCCCTTCCTGTTCCAGTGCACAAAGCAGGGTCCATAAATACATGGATCAGTGAGTTTGGGGTGGAGGAACCTGACTGGCCTGCACAACCCGATAGAACACCTTTGGGATGAATTAGAGTGGAGACTGCGAGTTCATGCAGCACTTTACAATATAAAGTAATGGGGGACAGTCAAGTTACAATACAGTTCCAGACAAGAGGGTTAGGAGGGCCCTGCTCATGAGAACTTACAATCTAAAAGGAGGGTCAAGTGATACAAAAGGTAACAACTATGAGGGATGAGCTGATGAAGCAGGTAGTTTTTAGGAGGAGGTGGAAGTAATAAATATTGGAGAAGCAGCAGCAAATGCTGATATATTATGTATTTTTAGCAGTAAATGGCGCTGTAGTGCAATGCCCGTCTCTATATGCATGCTTATCTATGATACACAGGAAGTTTTCCTATATATATGTTTCCTGAACAATGCTGTATTCAGATATAATATTCTTATAAGCAAGCAAAACTTAATTCAGCATTCCTCAAGATCAAAGCACTGACAAATGTGGGGCTGCTGACATCTGAAAATTATTATTATTATAGCAGCGCTTTACAATATAAGGAAGACATTACAATCACAATACAATTCAAGATGGTAAGGAGGGCCCTGCCCGTGAGGGCTTACTATCTAAAAGGGAGGGGCAAGTGATACATGAGGAGGTAGCTGTGCGGGGATGATTGTTTGAGAAAGTGATAGTTCAGTGGTTAGGTTGAGGTGGGATAGGCTTCTCTGAAGAGATGAGTCTTAAGGGAACGCCTAAAGGCAGTCAGTTTGGGAGATAGAGGGACAGGTTGGGGTAGAGAGTTCCATAAGATGGGAGAGACTCGAGTGAAGTCCTGGAGGCGAGCATGGGAGGAGTTGATGAGGGAGCTGGAAAGCAGGAGGTCTTGTGAAGAGCGGAAGGGACGGTTAGGGTGATACTTTGAGACAAGGTTTGAGATATAGCCGGGGGCAGAGTTGAGGATGGCTTTCTAAGTGGTTGTTAATATTTTGAATTTGATCCTTTGGGCTATTGGAAGCCAGTGCAGGGATTGAAAGAGGTGAGTTGCGGACACTGAGCAGTTGGTTAGGTGAATGAGTCTGGCACCTGCATTCATGATAGACTTGAGGGGGAATAGCCTGTGCAGAGGTAGGCCAATGAGGAGGGAGTTACAATAGTCAAGACGAGATATAACAAGGGAATGGATGAGTAATTTTGTGGTTTCCTTGGTGAGGAAGGGGCGTATTTTGGAGATGTTACGAAGGTGAAGGCAGCAGGATTTGGATAGTGATTGGATGTGGGGAAGAAAGGTGAGGTCCGAGTCAAGGATGACCCCTAGGACCTTGGCATGGGGGGAGGGCTGGATAGTTGTGTTAACAACCTCAAGGGAAAAGTTGGTGGGAGGAAATAACATGAGCTCAGTTTTTGAAAGGTTGAGTTTTAAAATGCCAGCTCTCCGGCTGCTTCCCACTTGGCATGCAGACATTGCAGGGTGTGTTGCCGTTTTTGCGCACCTTCATTCGAATGGGCTGCCTACTGCAGCTAAATCGCATTAAAAAAATGCAAGCACCAATTTTTTAAAATCAGAACACGCCCCAATACATAGGGGGGAATATATCAATGTTGTTGCATCATCTGTGTCTTTTAAAATGTCATAACCCTTATTTCTAGTGCACATAGCGACAGATTTATTATCTTAGTTTATGTTTTATTCCTAAATGCCTTCATAAGGAGAATTGTCTCTAAACTGTCTGTAAAATGTTGTCATCTTACAGAGAACCTGCAGGAGGAGAGCTAAATAGTCCTGAAGTGCTCAGCTGATTAGAGGGAATGAAGCTGAGTATCTTTGCGATACTTTAACCACCTGCTGTCCGGTCGTTGTAATTAAACGGCGGGATGTTGGCTTCTTGAATGCGGGTTAGCGTTTTTAGACGTCCTTTCACACCCCGCTATCGCCCACCGCTAGATGACGCGCCAAAGCGGGAAATTGGCTTGAAGTATAAATAGTCACTGTGCCCGATGCGGGCCCGGGATAAGCACAGCTGCTCTGTGCAGGGAGATCGGAGGGAGTTCAGTACACGATCTCTCTCTGATCTCCCCGCCAGTCTCTGAATGCCGGAAGTGATGTATATTACATCACTTCCGCATTCAGCTGTCATTCCCGGCTACAGAAGGCGGAGGGAAGCTGGTGAAGCAGATCTCTGCTTCATCAGCTTCTCTTGGGGTCCCTAGGGGTGTGATAGCAATAAAGTTAAGTGGAAAAAAAAATGAAAAAAAATTAAAATTACAACAACAAAAATTGAAGTTACATTTAAAACGAATATTTTAAAAAAATTATTAAAAAATGAATTTGAGTAAAGCGTTGCATGACGGAATAAATGTCAAAGTACCTCAGTGCTGACTACTGAAAAATGGGCTGGCCAGGAAGGGGGTGTAAACACCGGGTCTATATGTGGTTAAGGAAAGTGCTCAGGAGGACTTCTAGAATGTGTGACAGTTTAGAGGGTTTTTAATGTCACAAATACTATGCAATTAAGAAAAGATGCAAAATGTTGCAAATCATGTGCAGTATGTCACAAACATGAATATGTTGTAAGTAGGGATGCACCGATACCGATACTAGTATCGGTGCAGATACCGAGTATTTGGGCGAGTACTTGTACTCCACCAAATGCTCCGATACCTTTCCCAATACCGGAACTTCCGGTCAGAGGGGGATCTCCCCTGACTGCCAGTACCGACGGAACATAGAGCCGGATTCCTGATTAGCTAGGAAGACGGCTTCACTTGTTGCTAGGCAGCCTGGTTTCCTAACCAATCAGGAAGCCGGGAGGTGGGTCATAACGTGCGCCCGGCTTCCTTTTTTTTACAGAAATAGTTTTTATTAAAACATTTTTTCACAGAAACCTCCTTGTAGGATGCATATGGACATAAAATATAGCATCTATCTCACATTCCTTGGGCAATACAAATCCCAATAAAACTTTCGCCACATAAAATGTAATACATGGAGGACATTAACATTCAGCAGAATCAGTGAACGAGGCATATAAGGGTCAGCTTCACTTGCTGCTAGCATCCTGATCAATCAGGAAGCCGGGCAGCACCTCTTTATCGTGCTGCCCAGCTGCCTTATTGGCCTGCGGGAATTAAGGCGGCGTTCTTTCGATAGAACACCGGCTTCCGAGGCAATCAGGCTTCCTGATAATCAGGGCACACGGTACACGGTATTAGCAAGTACGGAAACAAAAATATCGGTACCCCCTACTCAATACTGAAAACCCGGTATCAGTGCATTCCTAATTGTAAGAAGACTTTGAAAATGGCGCAAAACACAGATTAAACTTCCCGCTTAGTTAGTGTGACATTTTGGTCTTTGTGACAAAAATAAATGTCATTAACATGTTGATAAATACCCCCCATAGTACTAGGCTACCATGCAATGCGGTGCAACACACGAGATGGCACCGCAGCGCACCTCACATTACAAAATGCAATCTCATACAATTCAGGATCACAGAGATGTTAATGGGGCCAAGTCACCGGCTAAAATCAAGCATGCAGCTCACAGTCTGAACTAGTCTGTCACTCAAAGTATTGAAGCCTTAGGATTAGCATGACAGCCAGGCAACTAACATCGTCAACAGTAGGGATCAGGAGAGAGAGTATATATTTTCCTGACATCCTCCTGCCGCACAGCTGCATTGGGATCACACAGATCCTGCGACAATCGGACTCATGGACTTCTGAACTCTCACTGCTTTCTGCCGCAATCACTTGACGGCACAAGCTAAGCGAAGCCATGGCCGACCTCCAGGGGTCCCCCCGGCTAAGCACTGACACAACACAAGTCATCACGTCACCGATCGGCACCAAGCTGATCAGCGGATTCCAGCATAGCCTGCGGCGCATGCGCGCTGAGCACCTGGGACGGCCCGTGTCCAGCGCCAGTTAATACGGGGGGCGTGGCCGAGCGGATCCCCACAAGCAAGCCCCTCCCCTTTCTCCGCGGCCGCCATGTTTATGCCAGAGAGACGATGACAGGAAGGAGAAGCTGGTGACTGCTGAGCGGAAGGGCAGTTGGAGACACGGAGCTGGTGACGAAGACGACGATTATACCCGTCGGTTTTGTGTTGCTGAGCCGTGACGGTGCTCGGGAGGGGATGAGTCAGTGAAGGGGGGTCGCAAAGTATTGGGGGCTGCTGTGTCTGCTAATCCCTCCTACTGAGAAGGCTTCACATCCTGCACTAGGAGTCCTATGTGTTCGTATTACTGCTTGGCAGGGGGCTCGGTGTCACACCTGGTCGGCTGTCCTCACCTGTGTCACCTCTTCACCCCCTGCAGCCTCCGGAGTGAAAGTTTACACCGTGCAGGGGGCAGGGCAGTCAGCAGCACCTGAGAGAGCCGCCCCTCCCCCCTTTCCCCAGCAGGATCTCAAACTACCACCTTCTATCTCCAGCACTAGAAGGGCCAGGGCACCCCATGCCCCATCTGATCGTCCTAACCACTGACAAGCCTGATAGCACTCGCCGTCTTCCTGGAGCTCTTCTGATCTGGATATAAAACAAGCCACAAGGAAGTCAGCGTCCACCAGACCCATCGCCAGCTGCTCTTCTGCCATTGGTCAACATGTCTAGCCAGGTGCCAGTGGATATGGTAAGATGCCCATGTGTCTCTCCCCGGATTATGGGGAACATTCACACCCCCTTGTGTTTGTTGTCTACACAAGGACTGCACTTTTTTTTTTTCTCCTTTATCACCCCAACCTTTTAAAAATGGGATCAGTAAATGGTTTAGCTGAGCAGTGGTCAACTCTCTTGATAGAGGGGGGTCCTCTGGTGTGGCCCCTGGCATCACCAAAGGGCCACATGTAATATTAAGTGAATGTAATGCTGCCGCCATACAGCAGGAGACAGTCGGAGATACCTGTGTGCTACAAGAGATGGTCAGAGACTGGAAACATGCTGTAGGAGTTTTTGGAGAGAGGGGTGAGATGGTCATAGACTGGATTGTACACTTCCCCAGAACTCCAAACGTGTGCAAAATGTCATGTTACATAAGTCTAAGCAGCCGATGTTTCGGAGCCCTGTAGAATCCCCTTCCTCAGGGTGACACAGTGATTGCAATGTCACCATGAAGAAGGGGACATTGGCTGTCCGGCAAAGACAGCCAACAATTTGGGGCTTGGCAGGCATTACAATTATTTTGCAGACATGTTTGGAGTGCAGGTGATGTTTATGTACTGTATTTGCAAGGTGC